CTTCTAGGGTTTTGGGCAAGCCCTTTCACCTGTCGGGTCAAGATGGCTCTCAAACTCAAAGGCGGTGCCTTACGATTACTTGGAAGAAGATTTGGTTAACAAAAGAGCCCTCTAAATCCGGTACATTAAGAAGGTCCCGGTTCTTGTCCACAACGGTAAACCAATCCTCGAGTCAAATCTTTATCCTTGAATACATCGACCAAACATGGACAAACAATCCAATTCTACTACAAGACCCGTTTGACAAAGCCAGGGCTCGATTCCTGGCCAAATTCGTCGGTGAACAAGTAAATTTAGAAACCAATTTATTTATCTATTAATTAGTTACATATGTGATTTCTAATTGACAAGTTCTATATTGAACCATTAGTTACTGCAAAATCAGCATTTTTCCATATATTTACACTAAAGAAAAAGGTGGATTAAAATTAAAATGATGCCCAATTAGACATTATCAAAATCAATTATTTTAATTGATACTAAACCATACATATTTGTTTCATTTATAGAAAAGTAATCTTAAGTGGTATCACTAAGTTTTGTGATATACTAATTTAAGTAATACAAAATACTATTATTTCTATCTAAATTTGTAATGGAACGGATTGGTTCGACATCGATCTACATATCTTGTAGGTCGCACCAGCAGGGTTTAGGTCTTTAGTGAAAGCAGAGAATGGAATAGAGGTTGCAATCAAGGAGGCACGAGAACTCATTATGTTTCTTGAGAAGGAAGTCACCGGAAAAGATTTCTTTGGCGGCAAGACAATCGGATACTTAAGACATGGTAGTTGGAGGTATGATCCCGTATTGTGGTGTTAGAGCGTGGGAATCCATGGGAATTGATATGATTCCAGAGGAGAAATTTCCCGAGTTAAAACAGATGGATCAAGAAGTTGAATGAGGTTGAGATTGTGAGGGAATGTGTACCTCCAAGACAGGAACATATTGAGCACTTGAAAAGAAATGAAGAGCGAATCAAATCGGCCATTAAGAGACAAACATAACAATACTCTTTGACATCGAGATTTGTTTGTCTCCGCTTTTTATTTTTTAAGCTGTATGAACAAAGATGGGCGACAATATCTGTCATTTAGAAACGCTAAGTGCTGGTCAAATATTTTAATCAATAAGATGAGTGACATTAGCAATGACGTGCATACATTTACACTAAAAAATTATATATTTTTCCTGGTTTGATTTTCAAGATATCCTCGGATACCAAGAGAAAGCAAAATGGTCTTCTTATTTAATTATTTATTAACCTATCCTCATTTTCACTACCCCTAATCTC